TGTACCCAGGTCCTGATAACTTTGGCGACGAGGGTGGGGGAGTTGATGAAATATCCCCTCGGTAGCTTTTGTGTGAATAGTATGGTAACTCACACATCGTAGACCTGATAACTTATGTATCCAGGTCCTAATAACTTTGGCGACGAGGCTGGGGGGAGTTGATGAAATATCCCCTCGGTAACTTTTGTGTGAATAGCATGGTAACTCACACATCATAGACATGATAACTTATGTACCCAGGTCCTGATAACTTTGGCGATGAGGATGGGGGGAGGGGGAGTTGATAAAACATCCCCTCGATAACTTTTGTGTGAATATCATGGTAACTCACACATCGCAGACCTGATAACTTATGTACCTGACCCTGATAAAAAAGTCATAGAGGAGTCCCTCTACACATTCACACGTATAGTACATCATCATTTATGCAGTGATTTTTTTTCAAGAAAATACCTTTCCTTTTGTCATCAGACAATGGTGAAAAAGAATTTTAAAAGACTTTCGTTTTCAAGTATTGAACAATAGCCTGGGTTGGTGTAATGGTTGTTGGTCATGGTATTAGGCGTGCCTTAGCTATTTGATGCAGGTTCGAATCCCATGTAGCGCACTTTTTGATCTGTTGCTGGTCGTTAGCACAGTCCTTTTATTATTTTTTATTTTGGAAAGAAACAAAAAATCCTTGATATTGTTCACTACTACTTCGTGGACCATGAACAACATAGAGGTTCAAAATCTCATAACTTACAAGTATCTAATGCACTATATATGAGTTGCATGTGTAAGTGCATCTCGGCGCTCGTATTGGAGCGGTGCGCCGGCCAAGAGAGCACCGCCCGCGCCGCTTTCCACCATTGCTATATAAACTGGTGCCCGGGTCATAGCCGTAGTCATCCGACTCCTACCAAGGAAGTAAGGGGACATCAAGATCCCTGTAGTCCGTTGGTTGATCAAATGGAGTAACTTACCACCAGTGGAAGCTACACGGGAAGACGCAACATTCATTTAGAAAGTTTTCCCTCAATTCAAACCCTGAGGACAGGTTTGATCTTGATCAGGGGGAGTTATCAGGACCCAACAACGTTCTATCTGAAGACGGTGCTATTGTAGTTTAAATTCAGTTAAGTTTGAATGAGAAGAGCGCGGGAAGACTTCATCACCGTTCATCTGCCATCGGATGTGTCACCTTCCTTCGTACCGCTTTGGGAGTTAAGACGAAGAAGCAATCGTTGATCAAGCATCGGACGGCTCGTGCTAGCGCTCTTGTCGTTGTTCAACTTTCCGGCAAAGTCTACAGTAGTACTTCATTTGCTTTCGCTTCGTTTTTCTCTCATTTGTAATAAAGCCACCTCTCTCGAGACTGGGCAAGCTATTCAGACATTTTTAGGGTTTCCCCCTTCCGCCGTCGCCCGTCAGTGTTCCTGGTTGGCTAGTTCCTCTTGTAATGAGTTTGTACTCTGGAATCCTTCCTCTGAAACTGCCATGACAATGCAAGTTTAGCCTGAAATTCCTGAATTTAGTTCGTCAGTACTACTTGGTCTAACAACCCCCTTCCACTGAGAGAAACTAGGACATGGTACTAGTATTGTAGTACATGTATTCTGTTTGATTTAGGAGGGTGAACGTGTCGATCTTCCTCTCAAGCTCTTCTTCTTAGCCCCAACCACGTGACTCAACTGCTGTTCGACTTTCACTACTACAAAGGTCGGGGTCGCTTCTATTTGACAACCTCCTGCAGAATTCCAATATATCAACATTTGGAGAAAATCTGCACTCCCATTTTAGAAGAAGAGGAAAGAATCCACTCTGAATAGATCTATGTAGCATCCGCGTGCGTAAAATCCAGATGATGTGGAAGCCTAGTGCTATTCAACATTGATAATAGTAGTTTTTTATCCAGTTGATTGATATACAGGGCCGTGATGATGTTTTACTGTATATTTACAATGGCCCGACTAAAATGTACTCCCTCCGTTCCAAATTACTCGTCGCAGAAATGGATGTATCTAGAACTAAAATACATCTAGATACAACCATACCTGCGACAAGTAATTTGGAACGGAGGGAGTAAATTGCAAGTTATCACTCTAGTGTCAGCAACTTGTCATCTATCTTTGAGAAAATGTTTAATGCTATGAATAACTTTACATCTCTATTTCTCCTGGAACATGGTACCTGTGCCATTCATTTTTTTAAAACAAAGGCTCGAGAGAGAGCCCGGCTTTGAATTAACAAAACCATCAACCGGCCAGGAGTTACATCGGACAACACCTTACAAGAGGAAAAAGAAAAAGACGGCAGATACATGGTGCTACTAGACAACTTGCAAACCTCAACAACACCAAACACTACAACATAATGTACAACAAAGCTTCACTTGATGTCGATGATGTCCCCAGCCGCAGAATGAGCACCATAGGTGGAGCGGAAGCACTCACAAGATGAGACCCATCATAGGCAGGGAGCATGCCCTCATCTGCACCAGGAGTGGTGAGCTGCAACAACCTACCCAAAACCATCTCCGAAGAGGACCCCTGCCCCTCGTCCTGGCTTGAAGGACGCCGCACCGTCGGAAGATGGGGAAGCTCACCCTAGAGCCAGATAAGATGGCAGCCACGAACAACCTTGAGAGATACTCAGCCCAGCCCCCAGCTGAGTCGAGTTCGCCTAGGAAGATCCTCGCCCACACACATAGAGCCACACACGAAGGAATGGAGCTATCAAGATCGAAGGTGCTGAGGAAGGAAGCGCAGAACGATAAAATCGGACCATGCGACCGTCGATCCCCCAATCCCCAAATCAGAACGCCCTCGCATCTCTCGAACCACCAGAGCGACACCTCCAGGAAGGTGACGGCGGAGAGCGCCGCTGCCACCCCATCCAAAAGGATGAGGTTTTCACCCGGGGCGAGAGGGAGGAGAGGGGAACAGAACCTCGACGGAGCCTCCAGGGAGGGGCACAACAACAGCTGATGTCATCACCATTGTGGCCGGGCCATACCAGATTTCTCCCGGACTGCCGCCACTCCCGCACCCCAAACGCACCAGATCCGGCGACTAGGGACCGCCAAGGACCAACAACGCCGGGGTGGAAGGAGCTATGAGAGGGGGAGGGAAAGACCTGCAGATCTGGCGCCGTTCGCCGGGGGGAAGACCGCACGCGAAGACCAGCCACCAAACGACCACCGCCACCACGCCGCCCGCGCGGCCGAGGGGGCGGAGCAGCACCCGCGACCATTGCTCGCCGAAGAGCCAGCCGGCGCCTCTCCTTTCGAGGCCGCCGCCTCGGCGTCCGTGGCTCTCCACATGGAGGCGGAGCAGCAGATCCTCGCCGCTACCGTCCTCGTCGGCCG